CTGAATAAGTATATCATGTGGAAAAATTATTTGGAGCGAAAAAATTTAATTCAATGATAAAAAGAAATTCTTTATAATTTATTAGACTGGAAAGTGAACTTGATGACAGCATTTAATAAAATAAGGATATGGTATTGTCTATAAATTAAGTTGCAACAATAGCTATAAATTCGTGATGAAGTGTGACGGAAGAGAGTGAGAGAAATCGTCAAACAATAAAAGTGTGGGTATTTAGCTCATATAAAATAAATTTTAATTTTACTCTAAAACTTTTTTCAATAAAATTTTGACTTTGTGAGACATAATCGCTCTGTTCATGTCCAAAAGATTGTTAAAAAACAAAGTTTCGGTCTCTTTTAAAATGTGTTTATGATTGTAGTCAAACCAATTTATTTATGAATTATTTTTTTCAATGTAATTTCCTTTATTGTTACATATATTGTAATTTGTTTAATCATTATTGTTTGTTTGTGTTCGTAATTTTGATTTTGTTGAATTCAATAAAGTACAATGTTTTATTCTAAATTTAAATTAAACATGTTCAATATATTTTTAAAGTTTCGCTTTTCTAATTATTAACTTGTAAGCATTAAAAAACTAACTAAATGTCTAATCTTCAAACCTTAAAATTATTATAATAAACCAAAAATTTATCCAAAGAGAGTTCTAAATGCGTTCAAAGAAAGCCGGAGCATGTTATTTAAAAATGTGAAACATTGAAAGTAAAATATCTTAAAATTTTGGATTGTTACTATAATTAACACCGGGTTTTATTTTTAATATAGATAAATTAATGTATGTTTGTAATATTCAATTTATTTTATTTACTTAGATGTTTTCGTGTTTCGTAAACAATATAAAATATACAAAATAGTCGAATTAATATTCCAAATCCTTTAATTTCATCTAAAACAATTCAAAGTACATAATAATTTGCTGTTTCAAAAATTTATAACGTGCACACTTTTTTATGTGTTATGCCTAATGATATGCTATTTAAATATTTAGATTGTAATATTTGAAAAAAATATAATTCTACATACTAACATATATTATACTAAATTAAGTTCTTACCACACTATTTTTTAAACTTATAAATTAATAATTATTAAGTGTATTTTATTTACAAGTAGCTTAAACATATATACCTACTTATATATACTTATTAATACATTAAAAACTTTTACAAGCAATCATATATATATATATAAAATTATTAACTAATTAGTGAGTACATGTATATACGTATATATATTACGAGATATATAATAATACATTTGTTCATTATTAAAAAAAAGTAAAAAAAATATAAAATTAGAATAAATTTATTTGTGTTATCATCTTAAATAAAACAAAAGCTACACAATAGCTACATTACTATAAAAATACATAAGAAAATGTATAATACACATACATAAATTTTAAAATTTTATCAGGCCTAATTTTTTTTAAATAATATTGTATTCTTTTACGTTTTATTCTATTCAGTGCTTATAAGTATCATTGAAAATTTTTCCACTTTTATAGTATCCAATAAATCAATGAATCCGTGCCATTATAAAAATGCTATATTTAATAACACCATATTTGCATGAACCTAATTAGGATCTCTATTATTTATTTAATTGAAAAAATTAGTTAAATGTTATCCTTTTACATAATATACCTATTGAAAATCTTTCTTTTAATGAGTGCATGACTGTATTCTATAGAAATTTTAAGTGGTATGATAAAGAAAAGAATAATTTTATAAAATAGTATTGAAATAATGGTGACAGCAGAAGTAATGTTAGACAAATTATTAAATAATGGAAAGTTCACAAGGTGTGGTTCTACTACTAATAAGTGTTAGCTAACGAATTTTTGTAAAAATTTAGTATAAAATATTTGATATGGCAGCATGTAAACAACTGTATTTTACATTTTTTGAGTAATTTTTACAAACTTAAATAAATTTATTTTTATTAGTTCGCAGAAATTTAGAAAACTAGTAAGCCAGCCAATCTATCCGCAAAAATATAAATTTGGGTCTTAGAAGCAGCTCACTATCTTTATCCCGAATTCCTTCAAAACTTTTCAACTATTTTTATTTACGCTAAAAAAACTAAAATACTTATTAATTCCGTTTCCTAGATGCGTTGAAAAATATAAGAACATGTGTTGGTACCATCTGATGTATTTTGTTACTTATGTTGTTAATAATGTGTTTATAGAGCTCATAAATTCCAACATTTCTTTCTTTTAATTTGTTATATAAATAATTAAAATTAAAAAATCGGCCTACGATCTGGTATACTCTTAAACTTCTAATTTTGAATAATTTTCTAGCATTAATTTTTCAATTGGCATTTAATATTTAATTTCTTTGTGTGAAATAATAATCACTTTCAAGTTTCTTTTCAAAATGACTCTTTTTTATTTCAACTGTCACAGTTGAAACTGATATGCAGCAACTTGAAAACATCACTTTTATAGGCATATTGTCAATAAAACGTTTCTTCAGTTCTCTCGCCTCATCCATGAGTTCCATTAAATGAGCATAAATCTTTTTAATACATAATACAAAACCATCCTTGCCGCGATTATCTACCATACATTGATCAATTTTATCAACAGAATCAATTGTTAATATCAGTATGTCGCCAAATACGTCTTTAAAACTTTTACAAAATGATATCCATGGTTTTATGGCTATATTACAACAATTTTTCATTTCTTTCATACTATCATTTATAAATGCATCAATTAATTTGCAGCCACGTATATAAGTTTTTTCATTTTTAACATTTTTTAGTTTAAATTTTATTTCATTTGACCATATTTCCATATCTTGACTGAATGTTATTAATGTGTTATTAACGTGTTCCATAATTTTTTTAAATTCATTCTCTGATAATATCATAAAATCTTTGAATAAATTTTCGATTTCAATTAATTGACCTTTAATACTTACTAATAAAGATCGAATTGGGCTATTATCGTCATCTAGAATTCGGTTACCTAATTCTTCTATAATTAACTTTAATTTATCTACAGCATTTGTTAATAAAACATGTATATCTGTTGCAAAATCTCCAATATATTCAATTAAATTTTTACCAAATTGCTTAACACCTGAGCTAAAGTCATATATTGTTTTAATAAGCGCTTGACGATAATTTATTATTGTTGAATTATTATTATTTTCCAAAATATATGCATCGTCGGTTGAAATTGGTAATACTGTAAAATTTGTTTGTTGACGAATGTTATCAATAATATTATGTTGACAATTTTTATCATTGCTAGTCTTATTCAAACTTTCATTATAATGTGTAAAATTTTCTGATAATCTCGAACAGTTTACGAAATTAAAAAATAAATTTAATAAATTAAATATTATCAAAAAACGTAAATTCATAATTCTATGGTATTCAGTTCGAAATTATATTGTGAATAGATTATTTTAATACGCAAAATTAAGAGGTTCCGTTTAAGTGCAATTGCTCTGAATGAATATTAAATCAAAACTAAAAGTAGATTATAAATATTTTTATTGAATTAAAAACGAAAAAATATGAAATTGAGAAATCAGAAATAAGATAATGTTTCAGAAATTAAAAATAAATACGGTTGACTTATTTATTTTTATTTTGTGAAAAAAAAAAATTATCTGTCATGTTACAATGTATAGTTAATATAAATATCAGAAGAAGAAAATGTCAACAGACGTGGCAGTTTGTTAAACTTTTGCGATTTAATTTAAAATTAGGTATAACTGTTTTTGGTTGTTATTTGTTCTGGTGAATGAAAATTAAAAAAAAAATATATTTACACACCCTAAAACTTTCAAAATTGCATGGAAAATGACAGATTTTACTAGGACACTTTTAATAATTAAAACTCATTTAAAGATTTCGACGAGGCTTTATCGTATTTGGACAACAATAATATACATCTATTTATAGAGGATTCCCACTAAAATCAGCTTTTCAAAAAATCCACCAAAATTTTTAACTGTCTAAAAATGTAGCGAGTTAATTAAAATTTTTAAAGGAGCTTGCTGTACATTAATTGTATAATTATTGTGGTATTTGGTATAAAATTGTTTTTAAAAACTTTATAAAATTTTTGCATGCAAAGCGTCTGGTATAACACTCTTTGGACAAAAATGAGAGGAAATGATGACGTTTTCATTTTCTCAATGTTTAAACTTTGTTCAAGTTTTGTAAAGTAAAATTTAGTTTTAAAACACTGAAACTTTTAAAACTTTTAAAATCTTACAGCTGTCGAAGTTTTATTAAAAAAAAAAAATGTTTTCATCAATAATAATTGTTTTTCCACAACTTTTCAATTAAAAATAAAATAAACAAAATGGATTCCCAATCGGTTGTTTCTAAGTTTCACACTTTTATGATCCAAAATGAAATTTTTCGGTTTTTTGCATAACCAAAAAGTATTTGTTTATTTTCTTCATCTTTTCCGTCTGGTTTATGTTTTTTTAAATAAGGATTTTTTCTTTTTGGGAGAAATTACGTCACTGTTTTCTCTTTTCAAAATTTTTTTTCCTAGTTTTATATCAGACAGACCTATTATTGGTATTGTTTATATTGTGCACACAAATATATATTCGATATTATGTTCAAAATATACAGTTACAACATATATTTGAAATACTCGAGCTCAGTTGAAATTTAAACCAAATATTTAGATATTGTTGACATCATATTTGAGACATAACAACTTTATATATATGATTTATTGCTGGTTTTGTCTCAAATAAAGTTGAAAGTCCCGGAAGAAATATGTACATATAATGTAAGAGCGTATTAGTATTATTATATTATCTTACATACATATATTACGTTTGTAAAAAAAATATATTGACTTCAAAGGTCAAACGAATAATATTTAAATGATAATAGGCATAAAAAATATTATGAATAGTGGAATCGATGCAGACATCATACATGATTTTTATTCAAACAAAAATTTTCATCTAAATGTTAAATGCACTTTAGTACAGGCAGATGTCCACAGTCTGCAATATTATTGTTGTATACATATTTAGAAAATAATTTTAAAGTCTTCATATATTAGATTGTTTTACAAAGAAAATCAGTGATCAATCGACCTAAGGGTCTAATATTCATTGACGGTATAAGTATAAAAATAATTTTGTTTTTCAAAGTGAAATATACAAAAATTAAAAAGTTTTTCAATATTAATAAATGTAAGTTTCAATGGATTGTTATTAAGTTATTGCCTTCATTGTATTTAGAATAAAGATGAAATTCATTCGATATTTTTGTTATTTTGAGTTGATTTATACTAATAAATAAATTTAATAATAAAAAGGTTAAAATAACAATTTATTAAGTTAAAAAACGTAAGAATCAAGTAAACGGTTGCATTAAATAAATTGTGGTACATAAAAACAAGCATTCCAATGTTCTTTTTTCAAATATATTTATAAAATTTTGGTGAATCACAAAGCCGAATTAAATGAAATTGTTTCTTTTAGTACAGAGTTCTAAACTTGGTGAAATTTACATTTTAACAAAAAGGGAACTCATCCCAAAAGTAAACCGAAGACAAATCATCAAATTGAAATTGTTATAATATTATGTGAGTGTGTGTTATATTTATGCTTTTATTTTGTAAAATTTCTTAATATTACTGTTATTTGATTCAATGTTATAAAAAAATTATCATTGTTACTCTGGCGGCATTGTATAAAAGCAAACTCAAGTCATACCCAAAAAATTTGCAATACCTTGAATATTAATAGATTTGTAGATTATAGATTTTTCAAGGGAACCGAGTTAGGCAGGATTATCCCCCGAGCCACGAATATTTATAGATATGTACTTACAATTCAAAAATTGTGGTCATACTCAATAATACAAGAGTTGTTTTTTGCAATAACTTTTGCTTTTTTGTTCGTTTAGATTTTGGTGGTTTATGTACAAGTCTTCTATACATAATCCTATGTGTTAATATAATTTTATCTTTAAATTTTTGTTAAAATAAATTTCGTCCATACTGGTAAAACAGTTTCTTTCTTATTTAATATAACTTATGTATGTATTTATTATGTATGTATTATTAAGGGAAAACTATGTATATGAATTTTCCATATTGGAAAAGGTTTTTGTTCTTATTATTTTAGATTTCAAAAAAGTTTTCACGTTTTCTGTTGCTTTCTTTGAAAATAAAAGATATCCTCTTACCGTGAGGTTCTATTTAACTGTTGTCTTGGTCGGAAAAGATTTAAAGAAGTACAAAAACTTTTGAAGAATAATAATTTAGTTTTAGTTTTTTGCATTTGATTTCTCTTCTGGTATAAAAGTTATAAATATCGAATAAATAATGTAGATATGTATATCTAGTATGTAGATATCTATACAGGCTATTTCGTATAAGGTGGCATAATTTCGGGGATGATTCTTTGATGAATTTCCAGCAAAAAATTTTATAGGGGGAGCGTGCAGATATACTGGTTTTCGACTTAAAGCCTGTTGAAAAAAAAGATACCAGATTATTCGTGTATATAAATAAATAATTGTGGCTTCAAACTATGCGACATGAGTAACCATCGGGGGCTGGTTTCACAGGCGATTTATTGCTCTTAATTTTTGGTTAATAACGCGTTTTGTCAGCAAAACTATGAGGGATAGAGAAAACTATTTTATGGGCTAACTTATAGATTTCATTATAGCGCATTGAAAAAAACAAAAAAAAAATATGCTGGATACAATTTTTTGCTGGAAATTAATCAAAGAATCATCCTGAAATTCCTTTCTATCTTATGCAAAACACACTGTTTATTGTGCTCATTATCTTAAAAAAAGTGCACAGACAACAACTATTTTTGTGTTGCTTTATATTGTGTAGTAGTTTGTAAAAAGAAAACAAAGTTTCGTTAAAGGTCAAAGAAGTTTGTGATTAAATTAAGATTCTCATTTGGTTATTGAAGAGGGAAAAATGTTCCCAAGAATTTTTTGTAACCAAAATAGTTTTGCAAACTACTTTTAAACGTGCAATTGTGGTTGTAAAAATCCATGTGAATTTAAAAGCTAGAAAACTGCTGAGAATTTTTGAATGCTGTTTTATCTGTAAGAACTACAGTCAATTACTATAGTTATTTCTGTAAATTTGTGGATATCTTGATTATTAAAATGCTAATCTAGGTTTGATTTCAGAAATCAAAGCATATTTTGGAATTTGTGGAAAATTTTTATGATTTAAAAAATTGTGTTAATTATTTCATATGATTATAGAACTGATTTGCGTAGCGACCAGATTGGAACGGGTTCAAAACATGTCTTTTCACGAATTTCAATTTTGTTGTAAAAATTTTGAACGTTATTGGAAAAAGTTTCAAGGATTATAAAAATATTCATTTCAATTCATTGCCTTCATATTTTCCAGATCTTTAATTTTTTATTATGTAACGTATGTATCTACATATGTACATTTTATTATTTTCTTTGTTCTAAACATGTATATCATTTTAACCTACAATTTTAAGACAGCACCATTGTATCTTTAAAACTGAAAGAACGCATTAATTCTGAAAACAATTTGTAAGTATACTACATGTATAAAATTTTTGAAATAATGAATGGGCTAATATTATAATGTGCGCCATATTAAGAATTCATAAAAAATGTCATTATCAATAATAATTAAATTTTCCAGAATAATTATGATGTATGGCGACATAACTACCATCTTGATGGTATATTTCTGGCGACACAGTTCATACATATTTTTTATTAATTATCATTCTACTAAGTAATGTTGGAACAATAAAATCACTTTATTATTAAAAAAATTTTACATTAATTTTATACTAAAATCAAAAAACCAAAATTAATGGATTTATTTTGTTAGCAGCGGTTTTGTTTCATTTACAACAATAATTCAAAAAGAGACATGGCGACAAATTTGAAAATTTAGTACAGCTTAATATATGTGTGTATGTATGTACGTGTAGATGTGGCATCATGTATGAAATTTTAATAATTTATATTTTAAAATATAAATTATTAGAATTAAATTTAAAACAACATTAAGAATCAAAGCTTAGTTTATTCCTGAACATTTCAGTAGATTTGTTCGAAAGGTCAACAATGTACATAATTGTAAAATTGAAAAAAAAACGAGTGTGGTGGGAATATGTTAAATTTTTAATTTAAGAATCATTTTAAATTTATTACTATGTTATTCAACATAAAATTTTCATGATTTCAAATGAAAAAGTACGAGTATTTTGTCTGATGAAATTTCGGTGAATACTATATGTATGTGTGTATGTATAATAAAAAATGTTAATAACTCTGGCCGCAAAGTTTTTTCATTTATACATACAAATATAATCAATTTTTGGTGTTTGAATATTATTTAAGAAAGTGTGAATTTTATTTTTTTTTAATTTAAATATAAAAATTAAAATAAACTATGCCAATACATTTATGTCTATCTTGAAGGAAATAAGAGTACGATTAAAAAAAATAATACACTTTCATTTTGTGAACCATAAAAGTATTTATTAGCTACATACTTCTTTTTTTTATTTCAGGAATAAAAAGGGACTTGAAATGAAAACTTAATCAAGTAGAAAAACACAAAAATTATATTTTGCAATTTGTAGGAGAGTAAGTAAATTTCTATTGAATTGTGAATCTTGTAAACTTGAATATGTATGTGTTTTTTGTTTGTAAAAAAAATTGTTTATATCGAGTTTGACAGCTAATTTCGCTATACAGGACTCTATTTTTAATGGATTTACACCATTCTCGCAATGAAACCTTTTTTTTGTATAAAAGATTCTTTAAATTATTCCTTAATAATGATAAAATTTATTTCCTGTTCGAAAACTGTTTAATATAAAATTGTGTTAGATCTTTTAGCTCTAATTATGTTTGGCCAAATTATTACAGAAGAGAAAAATTTTGTTTTGTTCTTAACTTTGGAGTGTTAAATACACTTGCACAATTAAGGCTTTTAATCCGTTTCAAAAGCAAAATATTCAAGATTTAAAATAACTTCTAATGTTATAAAAACAAAAGTCAAGTTTAAGAAAACTTTTTTTTTCATTGAATAAAATCACAATTTACATTAAAGATCAAAATATTTGCGAAGAAAATTAGAAGAAAAAGATGAAGACCAAACAATAAAATATTTTATTGAATCGTACGTCTGTTATACTGCCACACTTGTACATACATACATCAAACCAATTTATTTTCTTATAGAAGTAATTTTTATTTATTTCTTTAAAGAAGCAAGTCAAGTGGAAATTTTATATGTTTTAAAAGGTTTACAGTTGACAATTCTAGTTGTAAGCTTCTATGGAAATTTTTTTGAGTATTGACAATATATGAAAATATTTCTTTACATTGGTTTTTATGACATTTTTCTGAGTTTATAAAGTTCAAGTTCGATTAAATTCATAATCCATAAAAATTTAAAGGAAGATATTATGACAGTTTGGAAATAGTATTCGGGTTAATTTCATATCGAATGAAAGTTGAAATCCTCATTTCTGCTACTTATAAGGTACATAAAATGAATTTGAAAATGTGCAGTTTCTAATTCAAAAAAAAAAAACATAAAATTTATTTTGTTCGAAATTAATATTATTAAAAGCGAAATTTTGAGCTGAAAACTTTTATGATCAACAAATTGCCTATAAAAAAATAGCATTTGCTTAAACTATAAAATGCTACACTAACACAATGGCTGACTTTAAAATCGGGAAAATTTTTGCATACTAATTTTTACCCCTTTTAACTTCCTTATTATAACATTAAAAACACAAGTATAAGTATAAAACTCAGTCAATATTAAGTCGATTTGTCTTAAAAGAAGTAACAGCGTTTCAGTCGGTATAAACCGACCGAATTATACCCTGCACCTTGGCAATCTGAGTTTAAAATTTGTTTTTAAAGTATCTGGCATATATTGTTGTATACCAAGTACTCGAACTTGTCAAACCACTCTATAGATACTGCACGGATGTGTCTGATCTATAATTGGACACACAACTGTCAAGTTTCAGAAACCTAACTTTATTAATTTTGGAATATTTTAAATATTGCTTTTGGAGTTGAATGGCAGCTACCAAAACCTGTCAAGCCATTTCATTAAAACTTCAGGAATATACAGCTATGGTCAAAATAATAGAAACACCTAATATTTTTGTTCCTAAAATTAATTAAAGTAAAAAAAAATTTTTCTTGCAAGTTGAATATGTTTATTTATTGAAAGTGAAGTTTTAATAAAAACATTAAAAATTTGCTTTTTTGTCTTGGACAAAAAAATAGAAACACCTAATTTTAAGCTTAAAGATTAACAAATTTTTATGTCTAAAAGATTTTTTTTCAATTTATTTCATTTTTACGTAGTTAATACTTGGTCGGAAAACCTTTGTTTTGTATAACTTGCCTACATCTTCTTGGCATTGAGTTAATTAGAGCTTGACACCTTCCCACGGGAATGTTGAATCATGCAGTCTTCTGGCAATAAATGCTCCTTTTTTGTTCCTTCTTTTTTAGAAACGGCTTCTTGTAGATGCTTCCATAAATTTTCTATTGGATTAAGATCCGGCGACTGCCCTGGCCATTCTACTAGCAAAATATTGATTTCATAAAACCATTGTCGTACGTTTCGCGCAGTATGCTTGGGATCATTATCTTGTTGGTAGTGCCAAATCAAAAGCATATTATCTGCGGTATAAACAAGCATAATATTTTCTAATTTTCTCTAGATAATGATATTGAGTCATCTTTTCTTTTATCAAAAATATAGGCCCTACACCATACCAAGAAAACCCCAAGTCATTATATTGCCGCCACCATGTTTTACGTTTCTTGCGTGTGAACCTGGGGTTTAATTCAGTATTTGAAGGACGTCTAACGAAGGGAATATCTGGCCCAAATAAATTAATTTCTGTTTCGTCCGAACAAAGGAATTGCGGCACTTCTTTACACCCTCTGCCCAATGCACTCCGAATGATTTTTAAATCAAAAGTTATTCTATGTTTAATATTTTTTTTACTGACATAGGAAACTTTTCTAGCTTTGCGATCAAATAAATTATTTTTGCTTAATATTCTGCGTATGGTTCTATCACTCATATTAGCCTGATATTCTTTTAAAATTTCTTTTGAAGATATGAATGGGGCTTTTTTACATATCATTACAATTTTTCTGTTCATTCTTTCACTTGTTTTTGTTTTTTTCCCCGTGTTTCAGGACTTTTATTACTTTTTAAAGCATTAAAAACTAAATGTACTGAACGTTCAATAATTGTGGCAATTTCTCTTACACTTGTTCCTTGGTTTCTTAAGTTTTTAATTATTTCTTTTTCCTTAATACTACAATGATTCGTTCGTCCCATAATTCTGCAATATTTTTTCAATATTTCAAAAAATTAAATAATTTGAGTATTACGAGTATAATTAAATATTCTTCAATATTTGCTAAAATAATTTAAAAAAAATTAGTTTTATTCATCAATAAACGTACATTCGTCGGGTGTTTCTATTATTTTGACCAGATGAAATGCGGTATTTTTACTTACAAATGGTGAATTCCCGCAGATTAAGTTTTTTACTAACAATAATATTATCACAATAGAGCATAATATAGCAAAATAATTTTGCAAAAGATGGCATTTAATTCCAATATAATTTACAAAAGATATGAAAGAAATTAAAAACGTATATTAAGTGTTTCTATTTTTTTGACCATAGCTGTATGTGACCTACAATTGTACACACGACTGCCAAGTTTCATGAATCTGACTTTATTATTTTCCAAATATTTAAAATTAGATTTTGGAGTTGTAAGGCAGCTCTACCCGAACCAGCGTACAATGGATTCTTAGTACTAGAATCAGCAGTAGCAATTATTCAATCTTATGTATTTGCTGTATTAAGAACCCTTTATTCTAGAGAAGTAAACTAACTCAATTTTTATTAATAAATAAATGTCAGCACACTCTAATCACCCATTCCACTTAGTGATTATAGCCCATGGCCTCTTACAGGAGCAATTGGAGCTATAACTATAGTTTCAGGCCTAGTAAATGATTCCATCAATTTAATCCCTCTCTAGTAATTTTAGGAACAGTAATTACTATTCTTACTATATATCAATGATGACGAGACATTTCCCGTGAAGGTACTTTTCAAGGATTACACTCATTTCCAGTACTATCGGGTTACGATGAGGAATAATTTTATTATTATCTCAGAAGTATTTTCTTCGTTTCATTTTTTTGAGCATTTTTCCATAGTAGACTGTCTCCAGCTATTGAATTAGGGGCAACTTGACCACCTATCGGAATTGTACCTTTTAATCCATTCCAAGTTCCCCTACTAAATACAGCCATTCTTTTAGCCTCAGGAGTAACAGTTACATGAGCTCACCACAGTTTAATAGAAGGTAATCATTCACAAGCAACTCAAGGATTATTCTTCACAATCTTACTAGGAATTTATTTCACAATTCTTCAGGGATACGATATATTGAAGCCCCATTTACTATTGCAGACTCTGTTTATGGGTCTACATTCTTCATAGCAACTGGATTCCACGGACTTCACGTCCTTATTGGAACAACATTTTTAACAGTATGCTTATTACGTCATTTAAACAACCATTTTTCTAGAACCCATCATTTTGGATTCGAAGCAGCAGCCTGATACTGGCACTTTGTTGATATTGTTTGATTATTCCTTTATGTATCAATTTATTGATGAGGAGGATAAACTATCTATATAGTATAATTAGTATATATGACTTCCAATCATAAGGTTTATTATTAATATAGATAATTATATTAATTTTGCTTATAGGACTAATTATTATTGCTATTTCAATTGTAGTAATATCTATCGCTTCAATTCTATCAAAAAAACCTATTGCTGACCGGGAAAAATGTTCCCCATTTGAATGTGGATTTGACCCTAAATCTTCTTCCCGACTTCCTTTCTCCCTTCAATTTTTTTTAATTGCTATTATTTTTTTAATTTTTGATGTAGAAATTGCTCTAATTCTCCCTATCATTGTAATTATAAATTATTCTAATATCAGCGTGTGATTTATTACTACATCAATCTTTATCTTAATTTTAATCTTAGGGCTTTATCACGAATGAAACCAAGGAGCCCTAAATTGATCTAATTAGGGTTGTAGTTAACTATAACATTTTGATTGCATTCAAAAAGTATTGATTATTCAATCTACCTTAACAACGAATATGAAGCGATAAATTGCAATTAGTTTCGACCTAATCTTAGATGTCCTCATCCTTATTCTAAATTAATTGAAGCCAAGTAGAGGCATATCACTGTTAATGATATAAATGGAAACTAATTCCCAGTTAAAGAAGTATGATGTTCAAATAAAAGCTGCTAACTTTCTATTTTAATGGTTAAATTCCATTTATACTTCTATTTATAGTTTAACAAAAACATTACATTTTCATTGTAAAAATAAAGTTTTATCTTTTATAAATTGCTAATATAAGTTAACTAATATTCAAAGATAAGTCTATCACCCTAGCATCTTCAGTGCTATGCTCTAAATTAAGCTATTTGAATAAATAAAAATTATTATAGATACCAAAAAAATTACCCAGAATACAAA